CTCCTCCCCCCATCCCTGTGTCATGGGGCGGGGCAGCACAGGCTCCTCCCCCCCATCCCTGTGTCATGGGGCAGGGCCGGGCAGCACAGGTGACGTCATTGGTCGGCACAGGCTGGAGCCCGGGTGCAGCCAGCAGGGGGATGCTGTACCTACCCCAGGGGTGGCGCTGATGCTGATGCTGGGCACGGCGGCGGGCATGGCCGTGGCACTGAGGCGCGTGGCACTGCCGGTGCTGGGGGTGGGGGCCGAGCGGCTCTCGTGCAACATGTTCTTCTTGCTGACTTTCAGGTCCCGCTGCTTGCTGGGCACGTAGGCTTCGCGCAGCGAGATCAGTACAGGGCCTGCTGTCTTCCCGGCCACCCATTCTTCCGCCTCCATGGCTGCTTCTGGCCCAGCTGTGTCCGGGTACAGGTCGTCCTGGAACAGGTCCGACTGCCAGGGAGAGACACATTCTGGGTCAGCCAGGCAGCACCCGCCAGCCGAACTCCCAGCCATGGGACAGGAGGCAGCCCCATGGCCAGCAAGAGCTGAGGTGGCGGGATCCTTCAGCTCCTTTCCAAGCCAGTATCCTGAAGCTTTGCTGGAGGAAGCTGCTGCCTTCCTCTGAGAGGCACCAGTGGCTTAGCAGCTGGACATGCCACCCAGCCCTGCTCCCAAGTGAGGGAACAGCACAGGGACGCCCCACACTCCAGATCTGACCCCCCCCAAATGGTCCCCGCTCCTGTGCTAGGCACTCACCTTCCTTGGCACAGTCATGATGATGGGCTCGCACTTGCGCTCATGAAGCTTGTAAAACCTGCACAGTTGGGGGGCAGGGGAGTTAGAAGAGCCAGTCACCCCCACCCCAAATCCTCTCTACATTACACCTTCTCTCCAGAATCCCTGCCCCCCCCAGCCACCTCCCCCTAATCCCCCTGCTACATCCAGATCCCTGCCCCCCGACATCCCCTTACACCCTGGATCTCTGCCCCCTCCCCAAGCACCTACATCCCAGATCCCTGCCCCCCAATTTCTCCTGCCAGCCCCGCCCCCCACGGCCTGGCTGGGAGCCCCGCACCTGGCGATCTCACACTTGTTGACATCCAGGCCCCGCTTGGGCATCCAGCCCATGCCTCGCTGGGGCTCCTTGCTGGTGAAGGTGTTCAGGAAATGGATGTAGGGTGGCTCCTCTGTGATCTCAAAGTACCGGATGCTTGAATCTCCCTGGGGGAAAAGGGAGTGGCCTATGGGCACCATCACATGGCCCATCCCCCTGGACACTGGTAGTGCCACCTGCCCCACCCCCACCCGAACGGACCAACACTAGCTGGTTCCAGGCTGCTATAAACAGCATGGGCCTGAGCTCCCCGGGGGGCGGGGGGGAGACAATCCTCCACTGCCCCCGATGGCAGGACCCCTACCTTGCCGCAGACGTAGATGACGTTGGTGTCAGGGTCATAGAAGGGCAGCAGGGCTCCATTGCTGGAGTCCAGCTCCTGCAGCGCCATGGGCTCTTCCAGGTTCTCCTGCAGTGGGGCAGAGGAGAAGATGGTGATGGGGAGGAGACGCCGTCCCCCAGGCTCCTCCCTGCCCGAGGGCTTCCCACTAACGCTCAGCCAACTACAATCATGCTGCAGGGTCTGGGGTCAGGAAGGCTCCACCCTGGGATTTCATGCTCATGAGGATGGCTGGGGGAAGCCAGAAGAGGCATCAGCCACCAGGGAGCCCTCCTCAGCATGATCACCAGTACAGCTGCCTATGATAGATCCCTGGCCACAAGGGTGGGAAGGCAGGGCTGGGTTCCTGGGCTTGCTGATACCAGGAGAGGGGCATGTGCGGGGTGGTACAGGGCACTGCAGGGAGGCCAGGGCATCACACCTTTGCACTGGGAGGGCATGCAGCCCTCTTGTGGGCAGACAGGCACACTTCCCACCCCAGGGGTCAGGAACTTCAGCTCCATATGGATAAAGGCATCAGATTCTCTCACCACCACCAGGGGACACCTCAGCACTGATTGGAGCAGATGGAGTCTTTAAATACCCCTCCCCCCCACCTTCGAGATAAAGCTTAATCACCCCTCGGCCCCACCCCCACGGACACCTCTGGGCCCCACACTCAGGCAGGGGGCAGAAGGAGTCTGCAGAGCACAGGGAAGGGGAGGGAAATCCCCCAGGCAGCGCCGCCAGAGTGGGGGAGAACGCAGGGGCCAGCACATGGGAGCGGGAGGTGCGGGGGGGGGCTGTCCTGCCATCTCCAG